CTTCCGCTAAAAGGGATATTATGAAAACGCTGCAAGCTGTGTTAACTCGCCTTGAAAAAATAGAAACAGAAGTTAAGTGCCGGGAAGAAGCTAGCAAGTATTCTACTCCCTGGAAACTAATTAGAGAATCCACAAAAGGTGTTGTACCCTTCCCCCTTCCCCCGCCCCCGCCGCGAACAGCATCAGAAAAAAAGAAAAAAGTGTCGTACCCCCACCACCACGACCGCGAACAGACGGCGGGTCCCGCAAACCATGGCCAAGGCCAAGGAAAAAAGTAGTTTAGAGATTGTTCTAATGGTAAATTTCTGGACACTTGGACAAGGGCAATAAACCAATCATGTATCCGCTGCATTCGCGTACACTGTGTGAATATCTATATATATCTGGTAAGCACTAAGAATAAAGTAGAACGACCATACTCATATTGAGACTCATCATTACTCCAGGTCCGGGTCCCACTCCAACACACCACAGTATGCAAGATAATAGTAAAAAAAAAAAATCAAAATTGAATTTTATGAACGATGGCGTGAAAAGTAGAGGTCAATGAAGTAAGGCCCACCACAGGACTTTGAAAAGGCACAAAAGAGAGGCCCTGTCCAAGTTCAGGAGTGGGGTATGATCTCTAAAGTTAAGTCTTCATTAAATTTTATGAAGCAATATAGTAACAGCATAAAGATCATGACTGGGGACTCTGTTATTGGTAATACCATAATTTAAATGGTGTGTCCTATTGAGTCTTTATAAGTAATCAATAACAAACCATGCTTCTAGAAATCTATGCTGGTCAACAGCACTCATCATTAATGTACACACTACATTTTGCTGACTCTTGCTAAACTGATTGTGTAGTGATTAGTACAGTTAGATTAGTTCCACAGGCAGAAAAGACATAAGGGCAAGAGGAGCTAATGGAGTTCATTGCTGTATTACACCCAGGCATGACTAACATTTAAAAGGGAATGGATGGAACAGGCATTACAATAGCTCGGAATAGTCAGACTGGATTTTTAATATTCTTGTAGCAGCAAGAAATGAATGAATATTTTAAGGTCGGCTGTAACTGCCCAGTTATTCTTTTTCAAGTAAAAGAAATGCTTGAGCAATCACAAACTTACTTGGAGAGATTTAAGGCTTGATTCTAATTTCATTTACAGTAGGACCAAATGACCGTAACTTTCCTGAATGTAGTGAAATTGCTTCTGATTCACAAGAGTAAGTGGCATAAGTGAGATTAGTCTCAGGACCACTGCTGTACTTATATTTTCTACCAAAGCAGAGGCACAAACCATTTCAGATATTATCAGAAAATCAGTTTCCACCCACTCAAATAATTTGAAATCTGACCTATATAAGAAAGTAGACAAAGCAGAATTGTAGAAACTGTACAACTATTCTGCCAAAATTTTTGCCTATAACTTTGAAGACTATGTATCAAAAAAGTAATTTTAAGCGAATATTATAAACCCAGATTGTTTTCAGAATACATTTCCATCTGCCTTTTCTGCCATAGTCATTCTGAGTGAAATTCTTAACAACTTAAAAGGTATAGCAAGAAATAAACCAGTATTGCTAGAGATATCTAAAATGAAGAAGACATTAAAAATAAATCAAAAACCTCAACAATGGGCAAACTAATTCACAGCATTAAAAAGGCCTCAAGAACCCATATTTAAAGGACCCTAAAGCAGTATTAAAAAAACCTTCATAAAAATTAGAGTGCAAGCATATACTCATTAAACAAAAATATCCTAACAATGTAAAATTGAAATAAATTATAAGTAAATAATATAAAATGAGGCCATAGTTCTCTTCATTGTGGAGCTTAATACTGGCCATAATGGTGAATCATACAGACTAGCACATATCTTCCCTTTGGAGGCCTTTGCACCTTCTATAAATTCATATTTGCAAACCTTCTACAATGTAACAAGATTTTTTAATTGGGATAAGAACTTCTGAGACTAAAAAGTCCAAACTATCTTAAATGACAGAAGTGTTCTACATGCTGTTTGCTGCAAGCAGTCTAGAGAAGAAGGGAAGGGGGAAAGGAAAAGAGAGAGGAAGGAGGAAAGGAAAGGAAAGGAAAGGAAAGGAAAGGAAAGGAAAGGAAAGGAAAGGAAAGGAAAGGAAAGGAAAGGAAAGGAAAGGAAAGGAAAGGAAAGGAAAGGAAAGGAAAGGAAAGGAAAGGAAAGGAAAGGAAAGGAAAGGAAAGGAAAGGAAAGGAAAGGAAAGGAAAGGAAAGGAAAGGAAAGGAAAGGAAAGGAAAGGAAAGGAAAGGAAAGGAAAGGAAAGGAAAGGAAAGGAAAGGAAAGGAAAGGAAAGGAAAGGAAAGGAAAGGAAAGGAAAGGAAAGGAAAGGAAAGGAAAGGAAAGGAAAGGAAAGGAAAGGAAAGGAAAGGAAAGGAAAGGAAAGGAAAGGAAAGGAAAGGAAAGGAAAGGAAAGGAAAGGAAAGGAAAGGAAAGGAAAGGAAAGGAAAGGAAAGGAAAGGAAAGGAAAGGAAAGGAAAGGAAAGGAAAGGAAAGGAAAGGAAAGGAAAGGAAAGGAAAGGAAAGGAAAGGAAAGGAAAGGAAAGGAAAGGAAAGGAAAGGAAAGGAAAGGAAAGGAAAGGAAAGGAAAGGAAAGGAAAGGAAAGGAAAGGAAAGGAAAGGAAAGGAAAGGAAAGGAAAGGAAAGGAAAGGAAAGGAAAGGAAAGGAAAGGAAAGGAAAGGAAAGGAAAGGAAAGGAAAGGAAAGGAAAGGAAAGGAAAGGAAAGGAAAGGAAAGGAAAGGAAAGGAAAGGAAAGGAAAGGAAAGGAAAGGAAAGGAAAGGAAAGGAAAGGAAAGGAAAGGAAAGGAAGGGAAAGGAAAGGAAAGGAAAGGAAAGGAAGGGAAAGGAAAGGAAAGGAAAGGAAAGGAAGGGAAAGGAAAGGAAAGGAAAGGAAAGGAAGGGAAAGGAAAGGAAAGGAAAGGAAAGGAAGGGAAAGGAAAGGAAAGGAAAGGAAAGGAAGGGAAAGGAAAGGAAAGGAAAGGAAAGGGCCTAATTTTAGCTTATTGCTTATTCTATCTTCTTTCAAGATCTGGTGAGGATTGAGCATGTAGATTACACCCTTGTAAATATTAGGCAATCAAAATTTTGAATTCCATTTTCTGTCACCATCAATAGGTTAATTTTACCACCAGGGTGTCCCTTCCCCCCTGCGCCCAAAAAGGTATTGGCAGTTGACTGTTTTCAACAAATCTTATTTCAATATCCATTCTCACTAGAACCTTAACCAACATTATTAATTTATCTTAAAAAACTACTAAAAAATTGCCTTTGCCTGAAAAATTTGTTTTTGCATTTTCCTGTAAATGAAAACTTTTGTTAAAAATCTATTAAAAGTTCACACAGCACTAAAAAAATTGTTTCCTGTACATTTCTTCCCATATTTGCTCGTAAATTAAACAAATAAAATAAGGTAAGACAAAGGAAGGTTGAATACCGTACAAACTTGCAGATAACCTTTTTCATCATCCTGAATGTTTTACCAAATTTTGCAACTCTGATACTGGACACCACTTCAATCTTGCTTCTACAGTACAAAAGAACCTTTAAAAAAAAAAGCTCATCTTGCCTTGTTGAGCTGTCCTGGTGCATCAATGCATTGTTCACAGAACTAACATATGTAATTTATAGTACCAAGCTGTTTGACCAGTCAGATAGGTTTCTAGTACACACTTCATGCACACTCACACTTCTTTACTGGTGCAACTATGATCCTACACAGATGCCTTATAAATTTGCTGTTTCAACATTAAAAAATAAATTCATCAAGTTTCTTTGTACATACAAGTCACTTTCTAAGGCAAATTGTCTATTGTATGTACTCCCAACTGCTTTGGTATTTTATTTAAATTAATTGACAGTGGACATGGGTGTTCAAGCATGTGGACTGGTCGATTCTGACTGGTCAGTGGATTTTTACAGGGAGCATGCCTTAGACCAACAATTTTGTATGTTGAAAGAAAGGTTTTAGAATTTTGAATGGGGTTCAGACTATATGCATATTTGGCCTATGATTGTTATGGGATATCAGTATGCAAGGTTCATATTAAAGTGGAAAACTGCTAATGAACATTTAGTTTATACATCCCTTCCTAACCACATTTTATTTCCTCTTATTTTGCAGCTAACTTAACTCCATAAAGTAAGGCCCTCCTTTGCAACAGCTCAGATTGATACAAGTTTAAAACCTCCTTTTCATGTGAGTGCATAAACTGCAGTAAGCGATGCAGCTCTTGCCATTAAACTACCAGGAACCTAATCATTTATTACTTTCTCCTCCTACCCCTCTCTCTCTTTTTCTGTCTTTGCAAATGCCTCTGCCTGGCAGAAGTCAGTTGGAGTTGCTAGTTTAGTTTCCAAACATTCAATGGAGATGAAACTGGATCTGTATTTTTGCAGTAATTTTAACCCTACTATGGGAATGTTATTTTCCTTAGCAATCAGCAAAGACTGAAAAATATTAGTGACTTGCATCACCGTGATATGGTATAGCATTTTGCAGATATACAGTTCAGGAGTTGAAATAGATGGGCTGAATTTTTAGAAAAGGTGTTTTCAAACTTCAGAATTTCTGGAAAAAAAGGTAAATCTTGTGGTGCGTGGTCTGGTTCCTACAGTTCAATCTTGCACGCGGGAAAAGATTCATCTTGCATAACAACAGTGCTGCTGCTTGCCAAAACCATGATGTTGAGGTCCTGCTGTTTCTCATGGGTCTCTTGGTACCATTCTCTCATCACTTCTGAGTCATGGGTTGGGATTAAGGTCACCTGCAACATAAAAGAGGAGAACTCCTGAGGAATGGACAACAGAAGCAACTGATAAGAAAAATGACTTTGTAAGAAGACCTAGCCAACAAGTATGATTCCCTTTTGGAAAGAGT